ATAGATAGATAGATAGATAGATAGATATAAAGAGATAGAAAAATAGAGAGTGAGAAGGGAGTGTGATAGACAGAGACAGAGAGATAAACAGAGATAGAAAAATAGAGAGATAGAGAGTGAGAAGGGAGTGAGAGAGATAGAGAGGGATAAATAGGGAGATTAGTTAGAAAAATAGAGAGAGAGAGAGTGAATGAGAAGAGAAAGAGGGATAAAGAGAGAGTGGGAAGAGAGTGAGATAGAGAGAGATAGAGATAGAAAAATAGAGAGAGAGAGAGACAGAGACACTATATATATTTTCAGAACCTAAGACTATTGCTACTGCAGAAAACAACAATTTCAATCCACCATGCCTTGCTTACCAGCATATTTTAATATATATATTGAATATTGTGTGTGTGTGTGTGTGTGTATGTATACACACACACACACACACACACACGCACGCGCGCGCACACACACACACACAGAGATCATAAGATGTATAATGGAATATTCTTCCCAGTTCAGACCTTCCTATTCAGTCTTTCCTTGACTTTAGAATTCAATATCACTGTGATTGGGTGAGCAAACCTGATACTCCTTTCTTCTCCTCTTTCCCCCAAAAAACAACACTGTGAGATGTATTGGGCTGAAAGAGACTGACTGGCTCAAAGTCACACAGTTGGCGTTCATGCCTAAGGCTGGACTAGAACTCACTGTCTCTTGGCCATTGACCCAAAGTCACCCAGCCAGATTCCATGTCTAACGCAGGACTAGAACTCACTGTCTCCCAATGATTGGTTGAAAATCACCCAGCTGGCTTTCATGCCTAAGGTTGGACTGGAACTCACTGTCTCTTGGCCATTGTCCCAAAGCCAGCCACCTATCATGCCTAAGGCAGACCTACAACTCACGATCTCCCAGTTTCTTAATCGACACATCAAACTGGATTTTGTATCTTTGAGATAGCTGTGCTTGCAGAACGGAGCTAAGCAAACTCTGCAGCAAAGGCCAGTGTCACAGATAAATTTAATCTCAAATGCACCTTTCTGAGTGGATAATAAAGTTGGATCACGGTAATTGGAATAAGATGCATGTATCCGGAACCCCACAGCAATTCTGGAATTACCGTTGCCCTGTCTGTCTTCATAGGCTATGAACTTCAAACGATTCCGAGCATATTTGTTTTGAGCGCTGGGGATGTAAATTGGTTTCATTGTCGGAGACAACAGCTCTTCTGCTGTGCCTTTTTGTCTTCATTTTTTTAGACTGGGACGATTCATTCTCTTTACTAGGACTGCATGTATTTTCCATCTGCACTGGTAAATTTCACCAGTAGAAAGAAACCCCAGCAACTTAATACAGATTGCAATTTTTTTCCCCCACGAAATTGATCACCCACTATATTGTCGGTGGCTGTTTAGTGCCTTGGGTCACATTGTCGCTTGTAATACTTGCAGTTGATCATTCTCTTCTGTCAAGATGAGAAGCCTATCCAATACTTTTGTATATCTTCTCACCAGAGAATGGGCCTAATACCAGGTTGTTTTTTACTTATAATGTTGACAGTTAGTTAGTTACTATGATATGTCAGTTCCTGGAGTTTTTCTTTCTAGAGTGGAGTGGAGTGGAATGGAATGGAATGGATACTGAAGTCAACATCATAGCAATACTGCTCTTTAGTTTTTAGAATGGAATGGAATGGAATGGAATGGAATAGAATAGAATAGAATAGAATAGAATAGAATAGAATAGAATAGAATAGAATAGAATAGAATAGAATAGAATAGAACTAATGGAAAATAGAATAGAAGGAATGGAATGGAATGGAATGGAATGGAAT